GTCCATTTGTCAAATCCATGTCTCTCCAAGGCACAACAAGGCTGTTGTGCGGGACAGTGTCAAATGCTTTGCACAAGTCCAGGTAGATGTCGTCCGTTGCTCTTCTGTTATCCACCAACACTGTAACCCCATCATAGAAGGCCACCAAATTTGTCAGGCAGGATTTGCCCTTAGTGAAGCCATGTTGGCTGTCACCAGTCACCTCCTTATTTTTCATGTGCCTTAGTATACTTCCCAGGAGGATCTGCTCCATGATCTTGCCAGGCACAGAGGTGAGAATGACTGGCCTGTAGTTCCCCAGGTCTTCTTTTTTTCCCTTTTTAAAAATGGGGGTTATGTTTCCCATTTTCCAGTCAGTGCAAATGTCCCCAGACTGTCCCAGCTTCTCAAATATGATGGAGAGTGGCTTAACCACTTCATCCGCCAGTTCCCTCAGGACCCGTTGGTGCATCTGATCAGGTCCCATGGACTTGTGCACCTTCAGGTTCCTTAGATGGTCTTGAACCTGATCTTCTCCTACAGTGGGCAGTTCTTCATTCTCCCAGTCCCTGCCTTTGCCTTCTGTGATTTGGGCAGTATGGCTGGAGCACTTGCTGGTGAATACTGAAGCAAAAAATTGTTGAGTACCTCAACCTTCTCCATGTCCCAGGTAACCAGGTCTCCTGTTTCCTTCCAGAGAGGGCCCACAGTTTCCCTAGTCTTCTTTTTATCACTGATGTAGTTCATTCTGCTGTTCAGAATGCTGAATATTTTCTTTTTCTTTTCTGTGGTATTCTGTAATTTCATCTTTTCACCCTTGACCCCTCAAATTTTAACATCCCACCTGCTTTCCTTTCTGCTGTTCCCATATTCATTTGTACAGATAAAATAATTTTGGAGAGGGATGGAATTCCTGCTACAAGTGATGTCATACTTGCTAGTAAAAATGCACTCACTAAGCCTATATAGCTGAACAGTTTTTCAGTAAAAAGACAAAAAGTATAGTGAAAGCCTAGGTCTCTTGGGGATGAGAAAAGAGTAAGAGGACATGTCTACATTACAGTATAGAGATTTATTTGTAATAAATTGGAGTAGAAAACTACCATGCCTGCAGCCTTTATAACAAACACCTGACACAGACCTGGGGTTCTTATTCCCATGTGTCAGCTCTGTACAAGTAAGGTACGTACTCTCAGTTGTCTAAGCTCTGTATAGTCGATAGTTACCTGCTGAGGTTTACTCATCCTAACATAGATACCTAAAATAAGGAAGTCAGTCTGCCCTCGAGAAGTGCCTCTGCTGACTCCAGAAAGAACGTAGATCACTAACTTTCAAGTGGTTAACCACAATGGATTCTACTATTGATGTATTTGTTAGGGAGGAAAACGCTCTCTCAGTAGGATGGGTACTTAAGTTTCTTCTTTAACAGTGACCTCCATTTTTCCCCTGTTACTGCCTTACTAGTTCCAAAAATAGACAGGTAGCTTTTCCCATTACTTTTTCTGACTGCGTATTTTAAATAGGAATTATGTAATTAATGTGTAATGGGGCTATTTTCTGGCCTGGAAGCATGAACATTGCTTTTCTGGAAATTATAGCGAGGATTTTAAAAGTGCCTGATGGAAGGAAGTGTGAAAACCTTACTGAAACCTAATCTGATTTTGTTAGTTGCTCTCAAAGGCTGCTTTTGAATGCCCAGTTCCATATGCACATCCTCTTAACGTTTAAATGAAGTTTATATATTAAGTGGAAAAGGTACTTTTGGTAAGATTTGTGGTTAATTTGAGAATCTGTTTCTTGTTTGCAGAATCCTTACACTGGGACTTGGATTTCTTATTATCCCTTTTCTTCCTGCAAGTAATCTCTTCTTCCGAGTAGGATTTGTTATTGCAGAGAGAGTCATCTACCTCCCCAGTATTGGATATTGTATCCTGTTTACATATGGATTTAGTCTCTTGAGTAAGCAAGCCAAGAAAAAGGTACCATCAAAACAATCGGTAAAGTTGATGATGAAGGGCTTCAATTGAGTGGTTTGTTTCTTAACTTGTCTCTCTCTCTTTAAGAAAATTCTCACTGTGGCAGTACTTGGAATCTTGTTGATAAATGTTATGCGCTGTGCACTCCGGAGCAGTCAGTGGAGGTCAGAAGAACAGCTTTTTAGGAGTGCGCTGTCTGTATGCCCTCTGAATGCAAAAGTAAGTCACTCGTGTGGACTTTTAATCTTCTTTTTTTTTTTTTTTTTAAATGTTTTGAAATTTGGGATACAGGAGGTGTTACGCATAGTTAATATATTATGGTACAGTGTTATTCACAGTCTTGCTTGGTGCAAGAATATGATATTGACATGTCAGACACCTAAATTACAGTGCTAGCATAGTCAAAATACCAGACAGTGCAAATTACAATATTGTAATTCAGAACTTGGGAGTGGGGAGGAGAGGGAGAAGGGGGCATACACTTCAGGAAAGGCATCCAGTCAAATTGGATGTACTGCTAATAAAATCACTAAAACAATTGTGTGTATAATTGCAAGTTATTACAAGCAAATACTGAAAAGAAAGTAAGTTATAGCAATGTATTCACCTGAATAACACCTATGCTATGTTTTTAGAATCCTTTTTGTGTACCACTGTGGTATATATAGCCAACACAGCGGAGTGGCAAAGCAGCATATCCTCAGTGTGATCGCAGGATGTGGGGGTAAAAAGTCTTTGCTCCCACTTCTGCTCTTTTACAGTGGCTGAACGGGCTGGAGTCTTCAGATGTGGGCACTGAGGAAAACTGCGATATTCCCTGCAAGGCTTAGGGAGGGAACAAGTAAGACGATGGGACTGGATAGGATGTGTCACTGAGCCAAACACCAGTGTTCGGCATAGTAGACTGAATCTGGCCTGCCAGTAGAGGTGACCCCCCACAGCAGTACTTTGATAGCTGAGAGTGTGATCGGTCAGAGCATAGCACAGAGCCCTGATGCTGTCTGAATTGTAGCAGAGACTCTCTTTGAAGAGCCTAGGAATAGGAATGTGCAGCTTGTCAATAAAAATACATTGATGTTTTAAAAGATTAGATTTGTGTAATCTAGAGTGGTATCTAGACAATACAGATCAAGACACAGAGTCTAAAAAGGAACCTGTGAATGCTCGACTTTGCAAAGAGAATGATAAACTTAGCATCTGCTGGTATAGAAATATGCAGTAGTGAGCTGTAAAAAACATTTATGGCCGATATTTACAACATGGTGATGTCTTTCAATAATCTCAGATTTCAATACATAGAAAAAGAGCTGTTGTATTTTATTGTGTGGCGGTGGTAAGCAACCATCTTCTTGTTAATGACGACCTCAGTATATCTTGGCTTCTGGATGACAAGCACATACTATAAATGGAGCAAATGCCGTCTGTTTCTTTGTGTGCAACTCCCTCCATCTGCCATGGTAAGAGTGCTTTAGACAGATCCACACTCTTTGCCTGTGCTCCAAGCTCCCTGGACTCAAGCCATGCCTGGCTGGGAAGCTGTGTAGCTGCGTTCGCAATGTGCTGGGCTTGAGCCGATAAGCTGTGTGCAAGCTACCGAACTAATGCAGCTGGTTCAAAGCCAAGGATTGTATAGGGAAAATGAGCTTGTGTTTGTCAACACTGGGCCGTGTAGACATGGCTGAGCTCTATTGCTGCTAGTGACAGCTTGCGCAAATGGAAAGCATGGTGATGTGAACAGGGAGGGGTTTGTAGGCTCGCATTCCAATTCTGCTAAAGGAGTAACTTTGAAATCACAATAGTAGAGAACCTTTCTAGGCAACAGCATTAAAGAGTCCATGTGTGAGAGCCAAACTCTTTTTTCCTTATGGACTCAGCTATATTTATTAAATTTTGACAAAGGTAAGTGTAAAAATTGGAACTAGGTGCTGTTCTCATCTTCTGTTGTTGTCTTGAATTTGCAGACTTTCTTTCAGTGGCCCATTCATTTCAGTGGGAGGCTGATGCAGACCAAAAGATGGAAGGCAGATAATAGCTTTTTCTTGTTGTTCTTGGAACGTCTTTAATATATGTAATGTGGTCATGCTTTGCTTCCCTTATGTAGTAGTGTCCCAGAATCTACAGATGTCTCCCAGCTAGCAACAAAAGCTGCAGCTCCTAATTCATGCTTTGTGGTACAGCTCTTTTCAGTTCCAAATTGTCTGTATGTGAGCCATGTAGAGTAAACTTACCTTAATTCTAACAAGTAGTTGCAGCAGTGCCTTCTCTAATTTCAAGACTCATCTTCTTTAAACATCTCTTTAGATAGAGGTGTGGAAACTGCATTCAATCAGATTGTCTGGCATAGCAGGGAATCTACCCCTTTGAATGATGGATGCATCTGGCTCAAGAAGATGACATTTAGCATCAACTTTGATAAATGTTGCCCAGTGATTTTAAAATTTATCGGAAATAATCGGGTACCATAATGAAGTTACAAAGATTCTGACTTTTAAAAAAAAGTCCACAATACAGATATTTAAAATATTTTAAATATTTTTAAATTTATTTGAAATGTTATTTATTTAAAATATTTAAAATATTTTAAATATATATGTTATATAGAATTTTTTTTGAGAGAGAAATAAGCATGTTAAGTTGGTTAAACATGTCCAGGAGTATGTCACACGTTGGAACTTGCATGGTCCTGCACTTAAGTTGGTTTCAAAGATTGTTAGGCTGAAACAGTATACATTTTTAATACATTTGGCAGTATTTTTCTTTTTCCTCTTACCACCTTTTTTCATACCGTACAGATTGACTTAATTCCTGGAGCTCAGTGGTGATATACCCTAGGGTGAGTTAGAAGCAGGCCTGTGCTGGTTTTGCTGAAGCAAATTTTGTGAACAGTTAGAGACTGTTTTCTCCTGATATGTTGATTATATGTTACAGGTAGTTTATAAATTTGGAATATTTCAGTGCTACTGGCTTAAAAGGCTTACTGGATCCAATTTGACATCTTTTCATTTGATGTCATTATGTTGCAAGTTTATCCTGGAGTGCTTTGTTGAAGTACTGAAATATCTAATTACAGGCTACAATACAAGCTTAACTACTGTTTCACCATATCAGACGACTGGCTTGGATTTATCTCCTTAGCTTTAGATATCTACATCTGAGCGAGTCTCAGCAGCCAGGCTCCCTTTATGACTGGGGAGGAGAAGCTGTCCCTTTTAGCATGTGGTTCATCATCACCTAGGACTAAAGGACTGACGTAGGCCAGAAGAACTGCACCCTAGATCTGTGTCTTTCTCTCCAGTGATAAAAGAAATCCTGACAGCTAGAGCAGATGTGCATACATAAGGTTATTTGAGATTTTTCTAGACATTGCTGTATTGCTCCTCACCTTCTGAGGTCATTACACATTGTTTCTTTTAATTTTAAAGATTATTGGCAAAAATGCTCATCTTACAGCCTTTTTTTGACATGTCATATGTTACTGTTAAAAGTGCCAAGTTACTTTTTCTTGGCTTTTAGCAAAGCCATGGCAGTTTTTAAGAATCCATTTCTGGTGGTCCATTTCTGGATGACTGCCTCTAATTGATTATCTAAATAAAATTTGCAATTGCATTGTTAAATACATGGAAAATAGACATCATTTTTCTTTTCCTAGATTTGAAATAACTGAATTTAAATGATTATAAATTGTTAATGTGCTGTATGTAATCTACATTCTCCTTGCTACTAGCTTTTCTTTAAAGGATAGAAATAAATAAACGTAATTTTTTAAAAGCCATTTCAGTAGCAACTTTGCTGCAATAATAAGCAAGGAAGTTATGATACTTCCAGCAGAATGTGTTACTAACCAGTCTGCCTTGCCATACTAAGGGTAGTAACTTTGTACTTGATGCTTTATGCAAACTGTAATTATTATAGATACAGGTTTGCCAAAGACAAGCTAGGCTAATACTGAAAATGTACAACAGAGTTTGTGAGATTACTTTCATACTTTCATAAAAGGTCTTGTTAAACCTCCTTGTGACAGAACAAGATTTAGTGCTCTTTAAGGATTTATGAAGCTGATCTAGAGAGCATTTCCTGTAGATAATGAGCATTTTTTTTCTGTGCTATATATTAAAAGGGGATTATCTTCTGCAGAATTTACCTTAAGTGCTATGAACTATGTTTCTAGGGGCTATCTGCAGTGTTTTGCCACACAGATACCATTTTAGATGTCTTTTTTTTTTTTGTATGCAGGCACAGTCATGCAGAAGAACCTTTAGACAACATTAGCTGCACAAACAAAATGTGAAGATCAAAAAGGATTTGCTTTATTATTATTGTTTAGAAGACAGAATTTCAGTAGTAGAGGAAAGAAAAGAGTGCTTGATAAAAGAAGCTGGCATTGAACAGAGGCATCTGCATGTTTCTGTAGAAATTTTGACATCTGTGCTAAGCTTCCATCCTTCTCAGCAAATGTTCATATTTGCTGAAAAGGTGATTATAAGCAGCTAGGAAGAGAGAATAAAATATAATAATAGTAGTGCTCCAATTTGAGGGAGTGTATCTCTTAGAAGATGATACTACATTTCAATTTCTTCCTACACTGCTTTGAGGGGAAAAAAAATATCGGTTTGACAGTAATTTTGGTTTTGTACAGGAAAATATTTTTTTTCTCTTCCTCATTTGAATGTGTGTGCACATTTAAACACTTAAATAACAGTTCAAGCACTATATGCATCTAACAGAATAATAGTCAGTGCTTTTGCTTTTTTATACTGGCTTCTTAGGCCAATTGAGGTATTGCAAACAGAAAAACACATAGAGCCAATTCTTTGGCTAGGCTATGGTGCCATGGTTATGTTAACTTTAAACAACGCATGCCTGTTGAGATCAACTGGGTCCTACCCTAGGGTATTTTTACCTAATTGCCCTGATTTCGGAGAATTCTGTGGTGTTATGCATCCCTGAGAAATGCTCCTTTTAGAGCTATTGCTGTAATTACCTGTTTAAGATTGATAAAGGAGCATGCGGGCATAATGTAATACCTCATTTCCAGTTCATACCTATCTTTAATCATTTAATACCGAAATGCTACGTCTGCTCTTAAATGTTTAATCAGGAAAGGAAAATCTTCCCTGCCACGCTGGCATGCACAATACCTGTCAAAGGCAGAAGAACCACATCTCTAGAGATGAAATGGAAAACATCACGCTGGCCCCTCAATTTTAAAGGCCAGATTCTTCCCACCCATTGGTATATAGAAAGTACTTGTGTCCCCAGTTTGTGCAGGTGAGAAGTCAAGGAGAGTTACAGCCTTGGGTTTAGCAGGTATTACAGGCCTGGTTTGGGGGAGTAGAGCTAGAGGCTGATCTTGGCATTTCTGTGTGTGCCTGGAAACCCGTTGGTGACTCGGTTCTTAAAAGCAGGATGTTACGGCGTATTATCAATCCATTGCAGAGCTGGTTTTGTCATTGGATATTTATGGTAGGCAGAGGGGTTCTTTTGGTAGGTTTGTTTTCGTTCTTCTTCTCTCCCCTTCTTCTCTCACCACCACATGAAGGGAAACTAAAGCTGCAGTTTCACTTGGAGGGAAATTAGGGAACCTACATACAAGGAGGAGCTCTTCGCTTTCAGGGGTATTGTATAGAAACATCCTTTACTTTCACACAGAAGCCGTATCTGAGGACAGAAGAAATACACCATTGAAAATGCTAATAGTTTATCTAAATAGTTTTGCTATCAGTTTTCATAGACTATAGTACATCTTTTTAGTTCAGTTCACAAAATGTATGTGTACACTTAATATTTCATTTGATGTTTTGACTTGAGAGAATTGATCTCTCTTAGGTTTCTGCAGTCTGCACACTTGTGTTTACACGAGAAAAATACTTTTTCTGCTGCTGCTTTTGGGATAGAAATGGATATGAAGAAGTTACATGTTTTAAAAAACTGAGAAAAATAGAATCAGGAAGTGAAATACTGTTTCCGAACATAAGCCAGCTGACATGTGGGAGACTGAGTGGCTGGTGTATACGAAGTTTTTCCTTGTATGCTCTGTCCCCAGTCTTTAATCAAATCTCTTTTTTTAGTAATTCTTATGACTTTACTGTAAACCATAAGAAAAAAAAAGCAACTCTCAAAGACTTTTGTAAAGCTTCTTAAAGAAAGAAATTGAATCAGGTTAAATGTAATCTTGTTTGCTGATACTGAAATGTGAAGTCAGATATTTTAAGGGCTAATATACATTACTGAGTGAAATCTTCCCTTATTTCTTCTGTTTTGCCACAATTTATCTTTTATCTGGAAACACAGCAAAGTCTAATAACCCAATTTGCTCTGAATAAACTCTGTAAACTTCAGCATATATAATCAGAGCAATCCAGTTTGGTGAGAATGTTATCGTAGTGTGCTGAAAAATTTCTGGAAGAGATACACAAATAGAATTCAGTCCTAAGAAACATCTTGTCAGGGTGTATCATTTACTTTAATGACTCCTTAGAAAACAATGCTGTTCTGTCTTTTTGGGTTGGTTTTTGGGGTTTTTTGACACCATCAACTGATCTTGATGAGTGGTTATGTCTTGATATAAATGTACCATTCCGTTGCTGCTTTTGGCATGGGTCTTGTCGTATTTCTGTGAATGTACAATGGAAGTGCCTGGAATTTTTTTTTCTTGGAAGCTAGGCTAGAACTGCTTTTATGGGATGCTGAATTCGTGTGCTATTCTGTATCTACAGCCTGAGGAGCTGCCTCTGTGTATGCTTAGTAAACTTTATAGCATCTTTGCTCTCTGTAAAACCAGTGAAATTACTTTTTCACTCATTCTAGAAAGCATGGAAAATGTTCTTAACTTTATTTGTTGATGGTATGTTACTGCATAGTCACAATCATATAGAAATGGAATTCAGCAATTAAATACCATAACAATTCAGTTCAAACATAATTGTGTGTGCTGAATCAATATGTCCCAGGTATTGTGCCAAATACAATTAGGATTTTTCCTTTGATGGACGCATGAGATAAAATCCTTTTTTGAATGTGGAAGGGTGAATTAGAGTTATCTAAATGCATTACAAACCTGTCTTTTTGTACTTCAATGTGAAGTAATTCCAGCATAGTGTTTTTGAAAAGATTTAAATTAGATTTTCAAAGTATGGAGGAAATTACAATGTGTGTTTTAGATGAAGTATATACAATTTGAAATCAAATTGTAAGATAATTTAAATAATGAGTTCTGATCTAGTTGCTGAGAAGTCTGTTTTCAGAAGTCAGTACTCACAGTACTTTTCTGTTATTTCTAAACTTGAGTCTTCCCTTTGACCAAGTAATGTAGCAGTCTGAGATTTGACTTAACATAGGATTTGAGATGTCTTCCAACTCAGATTTGTCCTGAAATATATTTATTCCTGTCTAGTCCTTTCCATAAGTTCAGATGATGCATTTTCTTCCCTGTGGTTATATCTCAAAGCTCTAGATCCTTCCTTCATTCTCAACTTTTTAACCGATGAGGTCTCCACCATGTTGCTATACATATTATTTTTATTTCAGAAATGCTCTTTGTTGCATTTTTATCCCAAGACAATAGTAGTGTGTGTGTGTTATTTTTTGTTTGGTTTTGAAATATGGAGCTTAGTTTTTCTGTTAAAGTTGAGTTTCTTCGAGTTTATGCTGTATTGAAAGCAAAGTTTAATCACTGCTTACATTGCCGTAGTGTTTCTTCTGCTATGGTGGATTTGATTTGAGTCAGACTTTCTCTTACTTATCTGACAAATAAATGAAATGAAGAGCAGGAGGTGTCCATATAAAGAGTCTTGTGGAAACTGTGGTGACCTCATTTATAAAATCAGGCAGTGAATAATCTTTCTTAAATAGCTGGAACAGGTAAGCTGATTTATTAATTTATTCCTCAGATTTTGTCTTGCTGTCTTCATTGTATGTATTGTCCAGACTTAAGTATCCACCTACAACAAAAGCCAGCATTGAATGGAGTAAGAATTTTTAGCAACTTAGCTCCACAAAATATCTGACCATATAGCATGTGGTAGAATGTTTGTCTTTATTTTCAGGTGCACTACAATGTTGGCAAAAACCTGGCTGACAAAGGAAATCAAAGTGCTGCAATCAAATACTACAGAGAAGCTGTAAGGTATTAGGAATTTTACTGCTTTGATGAAGTATCCTAAAATTGCTTTCATGTTTAACATGAAGAAAATGCTTAGGTATTCATTTTCATGATCTGCAGCATTGCAGAGCTAGCAATTTGCACATAGTCGTACATATCCTATCTATAATAATCATTTCTTAAATTTTAAATTTTAGGTTGAATCCTAAATATGTTCATGCCATGAACAACCTTGGAAATATTCTGAAAGAAAGAAATGAGCTCCAAGAAGCAGAGGAATTGCTGTCCTTAGCTGTACAAATACAGTAGGTTTAGAACAATGCTAAGCAGTGTTTTGCACCAACTGAGCAGAAATGATACAATAGGATCTTGTGTTCCAAATGCTCAGTTGTCCTCTTTCTTGGTTTTTTTTTTTTTTATTTTTCCCAATTTGCCCAGACCTGATTTTGCTGCTGCATGGATGAATCTAGGAATAGTACAGAACAGTTTAAGAAGGTTTGAAGAGGCAGAGCAAAGCTACTGGACAGCAATTAAACACAGGAAAAAATATCCAGATTGTTACTACAATTTAGGGCGGTTGGTAAGTGCTTTTAAATAATTGATAGCTATGACAGGAATCTCTGTGTGTGTGTGTATATATAATTACACTGTAGCGTTAAATGCTGATAGTTATTCCAGTTTGCTTCATTTGTAGTTCAGGGTGATTTCTTATTATCGGTAGCTTTTCCTATTGCTTTCCCAGTAGACTTCCTTCCATACAACCTTTGGTGGTCCTACTTTTTCATATCAAGAGGTATAAACAAAAATATAGATTGCGGTCTTTTGTTCAAAAGATACTATTAATCATTTCCCAATATTAGACTGTTTTACCATCATTAGTATATTGTTAGGTAGTAGAACTATGCCAAAAAAATTCCATTTAGATTCTTGGAAATATTTGTATTAAATATTTACTTATTCTCTTGTGTTGATTTCTAAATTGTATGCTGGTTTTCCTCCCTATCCTATTGGTACATGCATATTTGAAAACAAGCCTGGCTCCCAGAGAAAAGCAGGGTAAAATTAATATATAGCACTCTATCTTCCATACTACCATTGTATTCTTTTTGCATTTCTTATTTTTCTTTATAAAAACAGGTTCTACTAGAATGGAATGAGACATTAACAACTCCTTAGTGTCTTTAGTGCATGATAGGAAAGTAAAGCAAATCAGAGAGGAATTACTGAGTTTTTCTTTCTTTTTAGTACGCAGATTTGAATCGCCATATAGATGCATTGAATGCATGGAGGAATGCTACAGTTCTGAAACCAGAGCATAGTTTGGCTTGGAACAATATGATTATATTGCTTGATAACACAGGTATAAGCCTATTTGAATGTTTTAATGAATAATTCAGTGTCTAGCAAAACTTAAAGCTTTATCTGTACTTATCTAAAAGGAGTTCTGCCTCTTCTTTGGCTACCCAGACACTCTCTATAAATGTAAGAATACCTTCTGACTCAATGGTTTTAAAGCATCTCTTGAAATGCAGCCCATAAATTGAATTTCTGATCCTTATTTGAAATGCCATCATTGTGCAAGCATGTTTGTACTATAGACCAAACTTCAGAACTTTTGAATCTGTGCTTTGTTGTTCTTCTGAAGGTGTTATCTGTTGAAAACAAAATGGAGGTTTTCTGTTGTCTTATTCTGCAGGACTTTACATTTGTGTGTGTGTGATACCTGGTTTTCTTTAAAAATGCATGTAATCAGCTATTTGTACAATATGTGTGCTTGCAGCGTGAAAAGTAACTTATAAGGCTGTGTTAAAAGATGCCTTCTCTCTTTCCACTATGTGGGCTCCCAGGCAATCTAGCTCAAGCAGAAGCAGTTGGAAGAGAGGCCCTGGAATTAATACCTAATGATCATTCCCTTATGTTTTCGTTGGCAAATGTACTGGGGAAATCACAAAAATATAAGGTAGGTAACTAGAGTTTTCTGAGTGTTGGGTTAGGGGTTTGGTGGTGGGTTTTTTTCCTCTTTAAACTCTGTGTAAAGTTTTTTTTGTAGAAACCGTTTGAGGAGGTCATTGTGGACTATGACTTAGATAATCAGGTTTCAATGCCCATTTCTGTCACAGTATTGCTGGGTGATTCTGGCCTAAGCTCATCCCACCTTATTTTAGATGCTTGGGTTATGAATGTTGCTACACTCAACTATGTCAGTGGAGAGAAACGGGCTGTTAAGCACACTAGAGGGCAGTTACAGTCCTGTATGGCTTTGCTGCCAATAGAGAGAGCCTGCTCGGATTTAGAGGCCTTGCTTCAGGAATTAAAATTAGATGGGATATGCTAGTCCTTGTGCTTTTGGTATGGAAAGGAAGCAAGGTTTACTACTACCTGATACAAATTCTAGCCTCTTTGCCTCAGACACTATCTAGAAGAGAGATACACAGATTCGCTAATCCCAGATTGAAGATGGGATACTTGAGTAATCCCAGAATATTATGAGAAATAGACCATATTTGAGCACTGTATTGAACTTTCTCTCGGATGCAGTGGACTAGCCTGCGAGTGGTACCTCAGCATTAGCTACTTATATTTAAGTAGTAAGTGTAATGGAACTCATGAGAATGACTTATTTTCCAAAAGGAATTGTATGAGCTGACAGAGAATAAATTATACACAGTTAATATATTTAGTTGTTTTAATTGACTCCATAGTCACTGACTTATGTATGTGATAAGGGCAAATATATCAAGGAAGTTTTTGGTATTCCTCAGAAAAACATAATTTACTGAACTATGGCTTTTGCAGGGGGGTTGATGGCTTTTTTGGTAGTGATAATGTTAGCAGCACTAAAGGAACATCGTCAGTATATGCAAAGTAAGAAGATTTTATGATGTGAAACTTCTCAAATAGATACATTTTTCCACCAATTACTGTGTCCACTTAAATTTTTACAGTCCTGTTCAGCTGTGGAGTCATGACCTGTCCAGATGTGCAGCCAGGGCCTGTGACAATCCAGCACTTGCTTTTGTTTGTGTTAGTGATGCTGTTAGACACCTCGTTACAGTTTCTCTAGACTGGCTGGGGTTTTTTTCTGGACATTCTACTTCTTTTCTCTCTCCATCCAAGACTGTTATAAAATTTATATATTTTACATTAGTTTAACAAGGTTTCAGAAGGATAGAAATTAACATCCAGAATGTACAAGGGATAAGATTATGGAGGAGGTAATAGCTAGGATTATTTTGGTGAGTCATGCCTGTGAAAGAACAGAGGATTGTATAGTTATTCATCAAGAAGGGTATGAAGCATGACAGAATAAAGAGCATTTATAATGAAATAAGTAGAAAAAATAAGTTGAAAGCAAGCTAGAAAACTACTGCAGCTGTAGGAGAAACGAGTCTGTCTTAGTGGATTTAAAAAGTAAAAAAAGGAGGTAGCGATTTTGATTGCTAGCTCTGAAAGGTCATTATGCTGCAGGGGAATGTGTTGGAGACAAAATAGAAATGTTAGTAGGGGAAAATGAAGCTTTCAAGTCAGCATCCTGAATAAAGCAAAAGGAGCAGTGGAGCCCAGGGAAGAAAGCAGGGAGCCAGTGAGTGTTTTAATAGTTCAAGATGGAGCAGTAGGTTTTGCGTAGAGCAAAAAACTTAACTAGTCACTTGAATTTGATGGGTTATAATGGGGAAAGCAAATTAAGGGAACTGGAAAGTGCACTCACTTAGAAAAGGTTATGATCTCAGCAGCTGTATTTTGCATCGCCTGGATAGAGGAGATACAGGGTTTTTTAAGTAGGAGAATGCTAAATGACAATAAAAAACATGGAAAATTCAGATTTCTTGTCCACCCCCTCACCATGTAAAAGCAGAGAAGTGGATGGCTCTTCAAGGATTTTTATTGAGTGTTTGGGGGGGGGGGGATGGAGACTGTCAAGGTGATGGAGGTAATTTTCAGAGGGCTGCCTGGCTGTGTCTGATGTGCTGTATAACCTCAGGCATTTCATTTATTAGGTTACTTGTTATGTGTCTGTATAAAAGTTGTCACTGTATTGGCTCTGTCGCCATAAAGCAAGGTATTTGTTCTGGGTTTTTTTGTTATCTCTTATTTTAAAAGACATTGAATCAAAAAGGTTTTACTGTGTTATAAGAGATTTCCTTCCAATAAGCACACAATATTCTCCTTCAGTTTCAAGTGCACTTTGATTTTCAGCAGAAGATAGTTTTCCTAAGTGACCAAAAAAACCCCAACCCTTTATGATTTCTGTTTGTGTCTACTCATGAATGATTTATTGTTCCAGAAACAAAAGCACATAAAGGATGAGCTGTTTTGGCGGTTTTGTTTTGGTTTTTTAATTAACATCTGTTATACCAAGTTAAGAGTTCTCCTTTAAATGCTTGTTCTTGTCACAATGGATGAAGAACCAAGCTATCTTTAGTTCTTTGAAAATAAGTATGCTGTATTTTTGCTATGTATACAACTCTACTTTTTCTGTAAAAAATACAAGAAATTGAAACCATTCAGCATTTTTTGTATTTGGAATAAAGCCAGACTACAATTTTGTGCTGTGGCCTTGGCAGCAGATGGAATGCAGTGTGCTTACCCAAAGCCTTTGCTATATGCAGTCTGCAAGTTTCTTGGCAACACTTAAAGATTTGGCAAGATACAGCAGTTTGAAATATCACCGATATACTGGAATGTATATTTACTCCATATATCTACAGTAATATGAATATGATGCACCTTAAATAGCCCTTAATCAGCCAGTATGCTGCTTCTAGCTGCTGAGCAAAGTAGTGGTGATAAAAATGTTTTCAGCATGTAGTTGAAGATGTATGGTAATGGCAGCCAACTCTAAGAATCTATTTCATTAAATTTTCTGGGAACGCATTGCGCATGTGCAATCCCATTGTGCTTCAGCAGTGAAAGGATGAGTCCATACTTTAGGTGCTTCTCCTTTGTGTACGTGGCAACTTTTAGGCGTTAGACTGAATTAATTGGACAGTACATCTTTCACTTTGATTGCTGTTAACCTGCCCAGTGAAGAAAGCAGAGATTCACTTATTAGACCAAAATACTAAAATTCGCAGTGGAAAAAAATACAACTTTGTGGGACTTCTGATTACTACATGCTTTCAAGTGCCAATACAGTGTTGATTTTTAGGCTTGGATGGTTATATGAAAAGAGGAGGTTAATCTTGCAATACCACTAGACTTGCCAAATGTTTGAGTCTCAGTATGTTTCTCAGGTGACCAAGTTAAAATCGTAGAATAGTTTTGACTGGAAAGGATGTCCAGAGGTCATCTAGTCCAACCCCTGACCCAAACCAGGGCCATCTCCAGTTGAATCTTGAACATCTCTATGGATGGGGATTCTAAAAGCGCTCTGGACAGCATCTTCCAGTGCTTGACCACCCTTATGGTGGTAGGAAAAAAAAAAACATTTGTATCCTTTTATCTAATTGGAATTTCCTGTGTGCCAGCTTGCATCCATTGTGTCTCACTCCATCTCACAGACTCGTGAGAAGAGTCTGCCTCCATCTTCTCTGTATCATCTGATCAGGTAGTTGTAGATAACAATAAAGTCTCCCCTTCATCTTCTCTTCTGAAGGCTGAAGAGATCTAGTTCTTTCAGCTGCTCCTTGTATGGCTTGTGCTCCAGCCCCTAACCATCTTGGTGATTCTCTGCAGGACTCACTAAAGTATGTCCATGTCTGTCTTGTAATGGAGAGCCCCAACCTGACCACATACTCCAGATGTGGTCTTACAAGTGCTTAACACAGGAAAAGGATTACTTCTCTGGACCTGCTGGCTGTACTTCTGATTAATACAGCCCAGGATGTGGTTGGTCATCTTTGCTGAGAGGGTATGCTGATGGCTTTTATGAATGAAAAAAGCAAATTGAAATTTGCTGTCTATCAGGCCCACCAGATCCATTTCTGTAGAGAGTTTCCTAGACCGTTGCCTCCCGGCCTGTACTTTTGCATGGGGTTATCCCATCCCAGATGCAGGACTTTGCATTTACTCTTGTTGAACTTTACAAAATTCCTGCAGTCCAATCCTGTTCAACATCTTCGTTAATGACCTGGATGATGGGGCAGAGTGCACCCTCAGCACGTTTGCAGATGACACCAAACTGGGAGGAGTGGCTGATGTGCCAGAGGGTCATGATGCCATCCAGAGGGACCTCAAGAGGCTGGAGAAATGGGATGACAGGAAACTTGTCAAGTTCAACAAGGGGAAGTGCAAAGCCTTGCAGCTGGACAGGAGCAACCCCAGGCACCAGTACATGCTGGGAGCCACCCAGCTGGAAAGCAGCTTGGCAGAAAAGCACCTAAGGGTCTTGGTGGACACCAGATTGATTGAACGTGAGCCAGCAATGTGGCCTTGTGGCAAAGAAGGCTGATGAAATCCTGGGTTGTGTTAGGAGTGTTGCCAGGAGGTTGAAGGAGGTGGTCCCTCCCCTCTACTGGTGAGGCCATGCTTGGAGTCCTGTGCCCAGTTCCCAGAGAGCCATGGACATACTGGAGAGAGTCCAGCAAAGGGTCACAAAGATAATGAAAGGACTGGAGCATCTTTCCTATGGGGAAGGGTTAAGCCTGGAGAAGACAAGTCTTGGGGGGAGGATCTCAATGTATATAAATACCTGAAGGGAGGGTGCAAAGAGGATGGAGCCAGGCTCTGCTCAGTGGTGCTGAGTGACAAGACAATATGCGATGGGCCCAAACCAAAACAAGGGATGTTCCCCCTGAACATCAGGAAATGCTTTTTTTTTTTACTGTGACAGTGACCAAACACTGGCACAGGTTGCCCAAGGAGGTTGTGGAGTCTCCATCCTTGGAGATGCTGCCTGGACATGGACAGCATTTGTTGAGAACCCTAGGGTTTGTCAATTCCTTGACCTGAGAAGATGAAGACACTTTCTGCATCAGTCTCTCTTGGCTTGAGAGTGGCAGCCTCAGCTGTCCTCAGCAATGCTTTGAAAGGAGCGTGTAGTTTGGGTTTGAATTTGGACATACTTGGAAGCTCTTAAGTCACTCAAAGTTGAGTGACTCAGTCTTGACATCAGAAATGTCTTGTCCCCTGAGGGACCCTTACAGAGACTTATTTCATGCCTCACATGAGAAAATGGTGGAACAAAAATCTGGCTGGCAGGTTTTCTTTTTCTGTAGAGCCTGTGCTGTGTTCTGTGGATATAAGTCATAAAAGCTTAGCACAAGGCAAAGGCCTTTTCCCCAGGTTATTGTTCTCACATACCTCAGATGGCAAGTATGTGCGTTCAGATGGAAGCCTACCACGTTGAGGTAATTTTATCTTCAGGTCATTTGCCCTGAAACTGAATGGGCAACTTTCCCTAAAACACAGCACAGCATAGAAATCTCTGTAAAATTCTCTCTCTAAAATATCTAAACTTGCATGCAAGTGAGTAAATATGCTCCATTTGGGGTGGAGGGGGTGTATCTCCTTAAACTTCTGCAGGAAATGTGCTCTGGAACCGAAGTATCTATATTAGCAGCTAGATTGGAAAATAAAAATGTTTGAATTGGAGAATAAATTTAGTGGTAAATTGTTCTCTGAATATTTGGCGAGGGAGCTCAGGTTTTCTAAGAAGTACTCAGATATCAACAGTCCTAAAAGTACACACCGCAAGTCAGAGTATGGAAAAGATAACTTGTGAGGAATATTTCAGTTGGCTTGATATATTTTCTTTTTCTAAGTAACAGGCATCAGCTACTCTTCACTGAGAACCACGCTGAAACATCCGTTTGAAAGGGGTTTACTGGAATGCCCCCACTTTAAATGCTAAAAACTATTTTAAAGGGAAAAGTGTCTAAAAGCAGTTTGCTTGGATACTGAATTATATTATCCTTAACTTGATTGACTGAATAAGTAGGGAAAACTTCAGTGGGTAATGTTTGAAAATACTGTTAATATGCAAAAAAAAAAAAAAAGAAAAAAATTCAAGTAAATTGCTTTGCAAACTTCACTACGCTTAATAGTGCTCTGCTAAAATAACAGCAGCCTGTGAAAGCATGGCACTTATTTGTAGCATTATTACTGTTTTCTGGAGGCTGTAGCCACCTGAGCTACAGGATCACGCAGGCTTAGAATATATATACAGTGGTATCATATAGATATGGCATAGTTTGGGAGGGGTTTTAATTACAATCGTGGCTAAAATTTGCATTATTTTATATACTACAAGAGTAGACTGTCCTGTTGACTTGTTCTTCTAAATTATTCAGGAATCTGAAGCTTTGTTCCTGAAGGCAATTAAAGCCAATCCAAATGCTGCCAGTTATCATGGTAATTTGGGTAAGAGCTTTTCTAACTCTTATCAGCTGTTTTGTTTGTTTGCTTCATATTCATTGTGTTTAAAAAGAAAAAGCAATCTTTTGAGCCACCTTCTTGCTGGGCAGATTTCTATTTTACTTCCTAGAAAAACTGCCAGCCAGAAGAACAGGGCACTAAACCAGAAAAGCTGTCATATGGTATGGCAGATCAAGAGGGCTGCACAATCCAGCCCAGAGCTAGCTGCACTTCAGTGTCTGCAAATTGGTTCATTTATGCTGTGCTTGTAACCCTCAATGAGCTCACCAGATAAGAGCTGCCATTTGTGGCTGCAATGTAATTCATTCCTTCATCATTCCCATGCCAGTTCTGCGCCCAGGCTTTGCTCCTGCATTTGGCAACAGAACAAGCAGCTACTGTGCCACCAGCCAGCGAGAGACCCTCACTGGAAACAAATGCTTTAATGTTGTTTTCCAAATGATTGGCAAGATTGCACGTTATTCAACAATATTGCTAATGAAATTCCTCATTGATGTTCCAGCTGTGCTTTATCATCGCTGGGGAAATCTTGACCTAGCAAAGAAGCACTACGAAGTCTCTCTGAAGCTTGATCCTATGGCACCTGGGACCAAGGAAAACTACAACCTCTTAAGAAGAAAACTGGAGCAATTGCAAAAGAAAGGCGGTGCCTGATGTTTCTTTTCAGGTTGTCCGTGCATGCTGTTTATGGTTAATGTTACATGGGTACTTTGGACCCTGTAAAGGCTTCAGTTATTATTTCTCAAAAATAATACCACCACCAGCACTGCACACTTGAATGTCCAATTATGCCCTCCTACAGATCCTAACATTTCAGCTTGAGGGATCATTTTATTTTTACTCTGGAACTGCTTTTAAAGTCCCTTAGAACATTTTTATAGGTATATGAAAGCAATGCAGATGGAATTTCACAGCTTTCACTTGTGATTTGATCTCTTCATCTGACTTTTTAGTAGCAGGATGAATATCAGAAGGCAGTTTTATTTCTGAAAGTGATTTTTGAAAAAGTGCAATTTCCTGTTTAAATCCTGATCTTTTCAAGTATGAAGAATATCTGTCCACTTCAGTTTTATTACTGCCTTCTACTGCCAGTCCTGCAGAGCCAGTGGAAGAATGGATTCTCTCAAGCACATCAGTCTGCTCGTGTAATTTGAGTTATGCCCTTGTTTCTGGCTCCACCCTGTGAAGTGTCGGATTTGTACAGGAGTAAATTAGGACAAGGACTTGACCATAAATGTTTGTCAGCCAGTGTACTCCTGAGGTATGCTTGAGTGGAGAAAATATGCATAGGTTAAGACGGAGATTTTAGCAAGCAGCAAAGGGAAAGGAAGCGTGAGGCAGCTAGAGTTTCCATTTTTGCAGGCAGCCTCATCTAGCGTAGACAACGTGGGCAACAAGTCAGAATTGCTTTAGCTCCTGCAGCAGCTCAGTGGTCTAAATAGAGTATAGTGTCTACAAGAGCTAATTCCTGTGTCCTCAGGCATTTAGGTGCTTTCTGGACAAGGACATTACACCTTTCAGCTCCTATATTGTTGGTGAATAAAGAGAGAATTTCCTGTGAAAAAGTAACTGGGCAGAGGACCTGACCTTGGCTGTTGATGTATTAACTGGAAGGAACTCGGCCTCACCTTCAGCTCATGTGTTTGCTGAAGTGGCAGTTAAATAAGCATGGCTGTTAATGCATAAACAGATCACATTGATGTGGGATGATTCAGAGATAGTATACATTGATACGACATTACTTTTCAAGACATGCTATGCTTTAATGCACATTTAAACTCTGGCTGTCCAGAGTTGTTTGTCTTGTGCTAATATTTACATTCCTACTTCAGGAAGTAGTCACCTGCCTGTTTATTTGTTGGTTTTGGTTTGGTTTTTTTTAAGATTGGAAGATTGCTATTGGATGTGAAAACTGAGGAACTTTACCTCTCTTTTCATATTCCTTTATTCTTTCCAACCATGTTCCCCCAGGAACAAATTGATTGGTGCGGTATTTGGAGCTTTCCTAGTTTGTCCAATGATTAGCGTATAGGCGATGGTGTGATGTTCTCCATACACAACTCGTCTATGTGGGAACCATTTAAAGTGCTGGGGGAATGCCTGCCATAGGACGTGATGTGTGACCTTGCTATCTGACCACCCTGTAACCATTCTACATCTATACTATGTTTTGAACCTACAATAGGCTACTTTTACATTATAAATTTGCTTGGAAATGACAGTTGTTTCAAGAACCAAGTGTGTCTACAGAGCACATTGCAATACTGCAGGGCCACCAAAGCATCCTCTGACAAAGCTAGTTGGGGTACTACAGGTAGTGCAGTTACTTTAATGTAATATTCTTGCCAGACTAACTGTAAATCTAGCCAGCAAGGCTGTGGCAGGGTGGTGCTGTCCACAAATTTGGCTTTGAAATATTAAGATGCCTGCATTATATAGTACGCTGCCATACTGATTTTAGTTGAGGTACCAGAGGTGTGTATTTGTGCTAGTGCAGTGCTCCTCTCCTGCAAATACAGCCTGTTTCTCAGCTGGACTAATTAGTTCATGCAGGGTACTAAGTTGATGGGCTTGTTTCTATTTTTTCTGGTTTCTGGACAAAATTTTCAGAAACTAGTGTCTGAGTATATTTGCAGGGTATAAACGTGCTCTTTGATAAGTATCTGCACTGATCCAGCAGAACGCTGCACCAGTACGGCTAGTCATCTTCTGAGAACCAGCATAGTTTAGTCAGTTGTGTCTTTTTCAGACACTTTTGTGTCTGAAACATGCTGAAATAGATGCACCCCTCAGGACAAACAGCAGACTTTTAAGGCTTTCCATAGACAGCCTATTATTCATCAGATACAGAGAACACTTAGCTACTTCAGTCATGAGGTACTAAAGAGTCAGGATCTGGCTGGATGAGCTAATTTATAGCAGAAGATAAATGTTTTTAATATAATCAGGTCTTTTCTGTATATTTGGAATGTGACATACTGAGTTTAAATTATTATCACACAGTTCACATGTATAGTTTTCCCTGTTGCTTGCCATATTAGCTTTACAGAAATCCAGTAGATCAATATTATCTATGGGGTATGAATTCTGTCTAGGTCATTATAAACCAAAATTGTTGTAGGAATTCCTCTGTGGAAGTCAGTTTGTCCTTCTACTCAAGGGTCTTAGATGGAAGAGACATGCCAACAAATTGGATGTTTTGTTGGTATTTGAAAACGGTGTTTACTCTTCAATACAGACAAAGTGATTTCTTCTTGATTAGTTTTCTGGCTACCTGTATATATTTTTGTGAGGGTTTATTTGTTTTATATCATTTTTAGTGCTATTTAAATTCAATGTGATTACTTTTATGATGGTAATAAGAAGGATATACTTTTGTCCGAGTGTAATGTTGAGGCAGAATTGAGTTCAAAAGAAGCAACAAACGAGACTGCTTTTTTTAATAAAAAATTCCTTAAGACTTTCAAGAATGCTAAATATTTTTTTACTTTCTTTTCAGAAATATTTTGAGAATGCAAATAATACAGTGATTTTTGTTAAAATGGTTATAAAGTTAACCTTTTGCTTGTTTTTTCATACCTCATAACTGACTCCTGGAATAGTGCAGAACGCACAACCTGCAAGAGAGAAAGGTGAAGAAAAAGTGGGTTTGTATGTAACTGTTGTTACAAACATTGTCTGTCTTTCCAGTGTGCTGGATTTTTTCCCCATGTTACCTTTCCACCATTGCTAATTGCAGAAGATTAAAGTTTCCTTCTTACCAGCTAGCCTGCTTGATTCTCTTGTGAAATTAAGAAACCTGGATACATTTTTTTTCCCCCAAAGATTGCTTGTTCAAATACAGTTCTGAGGAGGCAAATACAGAACGATTCAATGCACAGAATGGAGTCAGAAGCATATTCACAATGACTGCTATGGATGACAGTCTCTTCACCAAAAACTTCCAGCGGAGTTCCCTAATTGTATGTTTCTCTCATGTTTAGACCAATGCCATGTACATGAAGTTTCCTGTTATTTAATTTCATACTTAGGATTTAAACTGTAGAGATGTGTGTGTGTATTTAGGGCACTCAGAAATAAAAATCTTCAATACTTTTGAATGGTTTGTTAAAAATACTGGGCCTATTCACTGGGAACTTGTTTCCTTCATATTTGAGATACGTGTATCTGAGCCATTTGTCCTACTTTCTCTGTGTAGTCACTGAAAAAAAAAAACAACCACAAACAGGTAATCTGATTCATCTCCTAAAGAAAGCATCTTTAGGATGTGAGGCATCGTGTACTTGAAGCAGGTATTCCTCTTTGCTAACTTCAAAGGGTAACTAAGGTGATCAGCTCATACGTATGAAGAAAATCTCACTGCTGCTTTCAGGTGAAGTAATCTGGTCC